TGTCGGTACTATGAATCCTTTTAGATCATTATGTAGAATACCACCGTTAAAAATTTACATCTACAGCTATATAGCGATTCTTTACTAAAGTTACTAATGTAAATCAAGATACAAAACATGCATTACCTGAAATCCAAGATTTATCGTACTTACTATAGCAACAACTAGGATATAAAAGTTGAAGACGACAGCTTAATTTGGAAAATTCAAAACAAAATTATAAAGTAAAATCAGTCGCAACAAAAAGTTATTGATACATTTATATTCTAATGATTGCTTTAAGGTTAATGAGAATAAAAATGCTTTACACTAGAATATGATTTCGTAATCAGTTACTCATTGCTGTTCATAATAACACTTTACTAAGAAATACGTGGCATTATTCCCTAAGAGTCTTAAAATGTTCGATTTCAAGAGATTTAAATGATAACTATGAGCATAGTATTACCATTCCAAGTAGTAAAATAAAATACTCAAATAGTTCGATTTTGCTTATCATGCTTATCAATCACCTTATAGGAAATACTCAACAAGCGCCCATCCTTAATTGATAATGTAAATGCAGATGAAATGACACCTTTCCATTTCGCTTGCATTGCCAATCACGAAGCAATTTGTATCTGCCTGGTAAGATATAGAATCAACTATCCAAGTCAATAGATTTTAGAGTAAATATTTTAAAAGAGGTAAGAAGATAATTCAATGCCATATCCAATCAACTGTTATTAAAGATTGAAAGAGGAGCAGATATCTTACGTAGAACTGCTGATGGCAGTTTGCCGATTCACTTGGCCGCTAGCAAAGGGAATACTACCCTGATGGAGCTATTGTTGAGCACTGGGGAGGCAAGATATGAAGGTCGTGAAAATCATATTATAGAATGCAATCATGATGGTGCCACCGTTTTACATCGAGCAACTCAATGTGGCCAAAAAGAGGTAGTTAAGGCTATTTTAGTCTATACCTCTTCTATGATTGTTTACTCTAACACGAAATTAGTTATACTTGAGACAGTAGCTTAGTGCGTATAGCTTGATATTTATAACTGACAAGAAGCGACAGAAATAATTTTTGCAACAAGTACCGGAACCTAACATGTTTCGAATTATTAGTCTGTAGCTAAATGCCTCTACTTGGTCGTATGTATCAAGGATAGTCCTGGTAAACAAATACCTTATACACTTCAAAAAACTAGTCTATAGCTTAATTAGCGTTCGTGATTGACAATGGCTGATAAGATATAAGAAGAAAACTCTTTGCAAACAAGTGCTTTAGGTGCTTTATAAAACATTAGCCTACAGCTTTGATATATTTAATTGACACACAACAACACCAACATTCTTAAAACTAGAGTGTCTTTTGTTGTATAACTGGAAAAATTAGTCTATTACAGCCTAACGTGTCAATTGATATCAAACAGCAATCTTCTATGCGTACAACACCAACATCTACTTTAAAAAAACTAGCTTGCTTCAAAATCCGTACTCGACAAACGATAAGAATACCATTTACGTGCGAATGCCTTGCATACATTCACAGCCTAGTTGTTCTTTTAAAGCAATAGGCATCTTCCTTGCACGCGAAATCCTTCGATACTTCCCAAATTATTCCATAGCATAATATTCGAATGGAATAATGAGCAATAATTATCATGTAAATTTCTTCAACTATCAAACTAATCCTGCTAAATTAACTTGATAGGCTGTCATCTTTGCCTTAAATGCCGGCGCCGATACTTCCTTAAGAGATGTAAGCCTATTTTTGTTGAATTCTAAAAGAAAAAGTATCTACATTGTGAACTATTAAATCAAATGCACTTGAATATCATGCAAGAATGCGATAGAGTTAACGAGTTGCAGTGAAGCCCTAAATAAGCTTAAGACTAAGATTATGGAATAATGCAAAAATTGATAAATTTATACGCTAGGTTGTAAGACTGCATAGGTGTCTAATTGTGGAAGATGTTTACCGTACGTCTTGTAGTAATTTTATTGAGATGCTTATATTATGATTCTGAGATAATATTAGATAGCGTTAATTATGCTAGTACTGTGAGATTTGTATTGTGACGCTTTAATTAAAAGTGCAAATTATGAATTGATAGCGCGATAGTAAATAGATATGAACTTATAACTTAATTGGTAAGATATGATTGTGCTTGAAAGAAAATCATTGTGTAACTAATTATATGTAAATTGTGAATATTGCTGTGATAATTCATATAGTCCAGAGACAGTCTGATTGCAGTTAGCTAGTCCTTGGTAGTTCTAAGACGAACCTAATCTTATGTAATAAAGTAAAGTTTACAAGGAACTGTAGTTCTTTATATTTTTGAGAAGACACTTTATCACACTAGCTAACCAAC